GGGGGTGTGGGTGTGGGTGGGGTGTGGATGTGGGTGTAACTCTTCTCTTCATACCCACACCCACACCCACACCCACACCCACACCCACACCCACACCCACACCCCACACCCACACCCACACCCACACCCACACCCATACCCACACACCCACACCCACACCCTATCGGTATACATGATGTGGGTGGAATATGAAGATAGATATGGGTGGGATGTCGGTGTATGGATGTGGCTATGGCTGTGGGTAGGTGAAGATGTAGGTGTGGGTGTTGATATTCTGTGTCTGTTGGATCATCATACCCACCCACCAACACCATACCCATACCTACATCGGCACTCTCGTTCTTTTAAATTTTCGAGAATAGAAGAACGAAATTTAGTCTGCTGTGCAAGAAACGAAAGTATTGGGGATCAATTTATGTTTGTTTTTGTTTACTGTGTACACACTGCAGATGCTCACGATGAATATTTTCTCTTCGAGGCTATTTTGCCCAAACTCAGGAACGTTGATATGCATCTTGACGAATCTCACTTTTTTTCAATTGCCGGGCATCTAAATGGGAGTGTAGGTGGTGATATATGTGCTTTATCAATCTGATGCGTCATGAGTGATTGCTTTTTCTCCAATATTGAAGTTGTTCCTATGTAAGTTTGAACTCATTCCTTAGAGAAGAATCACTGTTCTGTGTTATTAACCGAGCAATCGTTGAGAAAATAAAAATGTGTCGGTATAATAAAAAAAAGCGACATTCTACTTTTTCTAGGGTAGCTGTACAAATTATAGCTTCGTGCTTCTCTACATTTCAGATAAATTGCACCATTTGAAAATGGGCAACGAAAATAGTAAAGACGTCGCATCTGAAGCTCCTCAAATATGTGAAGCAAGTGCACTGTATTAGGTCTGTCGCAACGGCGATGTGCAAATGGCGAAACAAATTTTGTCTGCTCAACAATTCTCGGATATGAATCAACTCAAGTTAAATGGATCAACTGCTCTTCATGCTGCTGCTTTCTTTGGTCATGCTGAAATAGTTCATCTTTTGTTGCATGAGTACGGAGTCATTCGACACCGAAAGAATAGAGATGGACTGACCGCATTTCAAGAGGCTTCTACCTATTAGGTCCGACAGCTTTTCCAACGCCCTGAAAACAACGGATTTTGTTCTCATGATAATGTTTATGCTGTGTTCGACGTACACAATACTAAAGATGATGAAGAGGAAACTATAGCAACAAAAGCAAGTGGTGGTTGGATAGATGGATGCACTAGCAACATGGACTCATATATGACTTCGATGAATTTTGCAAGAACAGTGCTCAAGAATCCTGTATATCAATCGATTGTGAAGACGATGCCCGCAGTGTTCTTTTTTAGCGATAATGTAGAAAAAATGATGACAAGAAATCTACGAACACTTATTCATGAAAACATCTCAACTACTCACCGGAACTATCTAAAAGTTCAAGAACTTTTATCACAATTTATCAAGAAGAAGAAGCTCGAGCCACTTCTCCGCCTGTATTCTCTTGAAACACCTTTCTATAGGAGTCTTGATCGGAAAAACAGTAACATACTCTTGGTCCTAATCCTATGACGATTGAAATCACTGAAAAAGCGTGCATTTCAAGGACGATCATTTCGTGGGTTGTCGATGACAAATAATGATCTATAAGCATATCGATGGGCATTATGTAACAAAGAGAGTCTTATCAGAACATGTACCTTTTGCTCAACGTTGCTTGACGAATAGGTGGCTCGGGGGTTCATCGCAGCGTCAGTCACGATTAACAAAAAAATAGTTCTCATGGTTATGGATTTTCTCGAACCGTGTGACACAGCGATTGCATTATATCCATTGTCAGACGAGTTAAGCTGTATTTCCGATTTTGAAGATGAAAAAGAAGTCTTAATTCTACCTTCGACAATCTTCAAGGTGACCAATATCGAACATTCGGACGACTTGATTACTATCTATCTGGAAAACATGAATGAATTTAGCGTATTAAAGGCAGTCAAGAAAGGGCTTGTCCCAGAATGAGAGAAAGTAAAATGACTTTGATTGAGACAATTATACGAAGGCTTTAATTTCGATCGTTAGTTTGAAGTATTTTGAAGTCATTTAACAAACAAGAAATAAATAAAATCGTGATAGCTATTTGATAACCTTAAATTCAGGCTGGTATGTAGCAGAGGTTGTGGGCGTGCGGTGATCTCATTACATTCATATCCACACTCTATTTTTATATACCATATTTAATAAATAAAGGAAGAGATAGTTATGTCTTGAAAATAATCCCTACTAGGTGTTGTCCTACACATATGAAGTATGTTCTAGAAGACTGATGTTTATATTCAAAAAATAGCTTTGAAAAGATTAATTAATTGGGATAGAAGGTCAGAAATGAAATATTTTGACCATGTATTATACTCTGCTTTAAGATTATCAAACCAAATTGAATAGCGGTTATCATACATATCTCAAATAATACTTATGCCATTCGATATAAACATTCATAATGTGACAATACGTTGTTAGCATAGTAGTATATGCGTAAAGAATGAAAAATTACATTCTAGTTAGCGATTTCGTTAACGTGTTCATTTGGAGATACTTCCTCTTGAATATCTCTTGCCTCATAAATGTATTAAATGTTTAATATTTTTATTACTATTAGTCTCATTTCTCAAACATTCTAAAGGATGTATGACATCCGCAATGATTATCGAAATATTAATATTGAAAAAAGGCGCGAATGGTAGGACAATTAAAAGTTGACTTTTCTGTAAATTAAAATCTTTTATTTCATTTATGTAAATTATATGACATTTATATCTCTCAATAAATGTCATTGATATTGCTGAAGAAAGAACAAGTCACAGAGATTCGAGCCCTATTTTAAACACAAGAGATAGAGTATTATTAATCTTAGAATAGCTTTTCACTTGCAAGCCTTCCTTTTCGAGATGAAAGGCAGAGTGTAGAATTATCAGTTTAAATTTGAATCCGAAAAACATATTATTATCAACTATAGAACTATGAATTTAAGTCTAAATTTATTAATTATATACTTTATTTTGAGTAATAAAATATTTACTGATGTTAGAATACTTTTTCGCTATGTTATCCTAACTTTCGAGAAGAAAATATCAAATCTCACTCATATTTTTAAAAATATTCTTTGGTAATCATAAATCTAACATGAAAATAATCATACATATAATTCCAAATACTTATTTATGTTTTTTTTCATAGAACTTGACCGAAAAAGTACCTGAAATGAGACTGTATAATCTCGAATTCAATAATTTACCGTCTGTTTATTTGGTTGTAGCATCGTCTTACATTTAGTCGGCATTTTAGCATTCGTCGGTTGTTATTAGGGTATTTTGCTTTTATCTGCTTTTTAATGCTTCTCTTTCCTCATCAATTTCTTCAGTTTATTATTCAAAATAATTCTGTTAGCATAGCATCGCAGTTGACGATCGTTCATTTTAATATTACGGCCAATCATCATCTCCAAACATATAAAAATACGAAATCCTTCAGTTTTCCTTCTATTTCACTCTGTCTGTGGAGATCACACGATAAGCATCGTGATTATCCTATATGAATAGACCAGGGCTTGAAATGAATTACTCAGCCTGGTCCAATCGATTCTCTTTGCTGGACCAGGCGGGCCACTCTTTTTATCGGGCCGATTCGATACTTAAATGTTATTTTTTGTTTTTACTATCGACTTTGCTTTGTTTTAAATGAGACATCTTCGAAAATGTTTAAGGGGAGAAAAAACATGTGTTTCACGTTTGATTGATCTGATAAACAGTTGACATTACTTGAACTCATCTTTTCACTCGTTTACCCGCAATATTCTACAATACATAAACTGTGTTAAATAGCATGAGAAAGGAATTAACAGAAATAATGTGTCGAACGTATACCGTTATCGATAGTTGATCTCCTACTGAGGGCCCGTAAAAAAGGAGAAGTAAAGAGGATCAATGTAAAAATAAAAAAGAGGAAAAGTAGGAGGCTCTTATTTCAACCCTCAAAATCATCAAAAAACACTCAAAGTGAAGGGAAAACTTCAACATTGCAAACTGATTCTTTATTAATCTCTGTTTGCTAGTGGCTTCAAATATAATTATGTTTCACTATAATATAATTGAATTAGGGATGTCAAACAATCGATCGAAGTCCTTTTCATTCTGTACTACTCACATTGGATGTTGTAAAAGTCAATTGAAGTTTAATCAATTACTGATCATCATCTTTCACCTACGTTTGCCTATCTTTTTGCAGCTTAGTTTCGTTTTAGTTCTTTTTCTATCTAAGATAGTTCCATATAGTATTTTCATATGATGGGTGTGGGTGGGTGTTGCTGTGAGTATAGATGTTGTTCTATGCTTAATCCACACCCACACTTAATAATTTACTACAGTATTTTCAGAAACCATGGTTTGTTAAAGTTCCTATCTCTCAATGGTGTGTACATAGTCTTAGTATGAGAACCAATAATAATACTGAAGGTAAACATCTTTTTTATTTCTCCCGTAATTTTATTTTCTCATTTTTTTTTATTTAGCATTTCATAGTCGCTTTAATCGTCGAGGTCAAGTTAATTATCCAAATATTTGGTCATTCATACAATTTCTAGAAGGAGACGAGAATTGTTTCCATCATATACCAATTTGATTGTATGCAGCTTTATGAGCAAGATCTATAAAATAATTGCAATTCAACGTCGTATAGGCAATCTTGGGAAACGATATTATGGCGGTGTTATAAATGCTATGAAATACTTAGATGGCTTATCATTTACAATTGCAAAACAAAAAAAATAACACTTTTTAAGCTGTGCTTTTTTATCTTTTGACTTATGCTTTATTTCTATAATCATATGTTAGTATTATCGTACGTCATAAAGCATCTCTCTCGAGTCAGAATTTTCTACAACACTTTTTTCTTCTCTTTCAACCTTTCTACTGCCAAATATTTTCTTCATTTACCATTTCAAGGATACTTCACTTGCCTAAAGCTCACCGATGTAGATGCGCCAAGAGAGAGGAGATTTGATCAAGACAGTCAAATTCAACTTATTGATCAATTGTTGTGTCATCATACAAGTAATCTACGTTTTCGAGTACCGATTACACTTGCTTTTAGAAATCTTAGTTCTTCTTGGCCCCAAAATGATTTTAGCGATCTCTGCTATGAATTTATGCAAACACCAGACAAATATGATTCTCTGTTGGCATTTGGGGCTTACATATTAATTAATGGTGTCAATGATTTAGTTAATTATCCTTAAAATGATATTTTGTTCGATGCTTTAGATCGTTTAATAGTAGCAGCGGATCAACATAAATGGTCAATTGTTCGTGGGTTTCTACTCGATCAAATTACAAATAGATTTGAGAAAATTTCCACGTGATATTATTTCATTATGGATGGACAAATTATTATCAGAGTCTTCCCCATATGATATTCACACAATAACAGCTCTTTATCATCTCATCGAAGGAAAACCTCATGAATTTGAAAATATTCAATGGCTAGATCAATCATTTTGTTCAATACTTCAATCTTTGTCAACGCTTAATGATGAAGATAATGAATTTGCTATTGATCGATTATTAATTAAAATTGCTTTCTCAAATCATCAGTTATTACCTTCCAATCTAAATACTTTCAAAGGATTTTCACTTGATAAAATCATTGAAATGAGTTCGATTCCTATGATTATTACTTTATATGGTGACTTAAAAGGAGATGGTTAAACTTTTATCTTTGACCCGTCTCATATTCATCGAGAATCAACTGTAGTAACACCGATTCTAATACGGTTTTTCTCCAAAAAAGATCATGATAAACAAAACCAAGCTTTCCAAAGATTAAAACAAAAATGTATAAAATCTTTCGTGATGCGAATGAAAAATCATGATGAATCTTCAGAAACAATTGAATCGTGCATTGCAACTATATGTTTTTATAACATTGAATATATACAAGACAATTTGAACATGATCTTCAGTTCTCTTGTACATATGAATATGAATAGAATAAAATGCATGTCAATGATTTTATCTCAATTCTATTTTACTGCTGACGAAAATGATCGAACTATGAAGAATGAAGCAACAAAATTTATTTCAAGGGTGTGGGTGTGTGTGGATTTTAGTCGTCATCTCATCCACACCCATATCTATCATTGAGAATTTTTCAAACGACTTCACTCATCACTTAGATCAGACACATTCAATCTCACTTCATACAGAAAACTTCATGTAGAAAAAACAATCCTATTCGAAATTGAAGTCTTGAAAATCGATACTCAATCATAAATAAGCTATTAATTAAAAATGAAGATTGATTGTCTCTTTTGCTATAGATTGAAAAGAAATTCGATGGTGCTATTTAAAAATCAAATGATGACGGGAAACATTTACCGATTCTGAAGAAAGTATCAACGAAATGAGGGAAACCCAAGAAAATCACTGTGTTCAGACATGATCAACTGTACATGGCGTTTATGCAAAACTATGGCAAATTTAAGTGGTCCAAGCACTCTACAATGCATTAGTTGAAATGTTGATTAAAGAACTTATTCTGCAGACAAAGACCACGAGAAACGACTAGAAGCACCAGAGGAAAATATCTACATAGTCACTGACATTGTTCCAAATGCATTTCTAGTATTTTTCAGTTTTTTATTGTCGATCCAATATTGAAGTGATGAGATGAGGAAGTCATCAATATGAACCTAGAAGAGCAATGCCTTCTTTAATTAACTGGTCAATTGTTCAAAGAAAAATTCGAAAGATTTCTGACGAAGATTATGTCGTTTTCATGTTATTCATCATCACATTTCTATCGTTAAGTGATTGTGCAGCGCAATTTGTTTTAGTTTCTTTTGAATATAAAATGTTTTTTATTTGTTAGCTTTGTTTATATGAATGAAGAACTTTTGTCGAGTTGAATTAGACATTGAGATTTCCTAGAAAAACGAACAAAAAACGTTTTCTATGAACAAAATGGTTGAAAACGAATCGCTTGCGAAGCAGAACTCATGCGCAGAGAATATCGAGATCATACAACTGAATACGATTGTTTTTATTTATCCTTCATCGATTATGATCGGATAACAATGTCTAATGACATATGTCTCACTCATATCATCCACTTTATGAATTGACTATGTTTTCAACGTTGAAATCATAAGATTAGATAAATAAATCTATGAAAAACTCCTCTCATTAGCTGTTGCTATCTGAATTTTTGCGTGTTCAGCACTCGTTATTATTCTATACAAAACAGTCTTGTACGGATTGATTTTCATATGCAATGTTCATCGATGTAAAAGATTGCTTGCTCTCCCAAGCTACATCGAATTCATCATTTTCAATATTAATCTGGAGTAATTTCTTCTGAGTACATGTTCCTTTCTGCGAGAAATTTTATATTCATTGAATAATTCAAAAGAAAATGACTTCAAAAAATTGTTTCTGTAATAGTTCTGTTTCTAAAAGCATAATAGTGTTGAAACGATAACTATTCTTATCGCTGCGACATAGATGTCAGCATAACAATTTATCGTCCCTTGAGTACTTGTAGGTAATGCTTTATGATAAAAGTCTGCATACAATCACCTATCACATTTCACCTTGAATGCATAAATGTATTTAAGTCTGATAACGATTTGCCCTAACTATATTCATGACGCTGCGCAAAAGTAAAGAAGATTGCACCGATACGTTTATTATTAAATGGCTTATTCACTGTTACGTTTCACATTGAGACGAAAATAACTTTGAGTTCTGTATGCGTTCTTTTAGGAACATTCTTCGGTGCAAACCGTTGGACAAAACATTCGAATTCCACGTTCGAACTCGATAAAAGTCAACAATGAATTAAATACTCTTACTACTGTAGTCTTTTAGATCTACTAGTTAGTAGTTATTGTTCTGTCATATACTCAGATCAAGATTGAGATATTTTTTTTATTGATCTTGATCGAAATCATAAAAAATATCGTTAATTCTTCAAAATTGTATAGAGGTTTCTCTCGACACAAATTTTATTTCATAAGGCTTACGTGGTAAGAAACAGCGAAAAGATAAGAACAACGAAAGAGCAATCTCTACTTGCGCAAATAGCAATGTTATATCGATATTGTTGACGTCACTGCAAGTTAAAAGTATTAGGAGATCCTTTCGCCTGCAAATGACTGAATTTTTCTCCAAACATTATCATTATTGTAAAAATTAGTTATTAGATGGTTCCAAAATTTCCAAGGTTCAACTAGATCGCTGATCATCACGAACTGGAGTATACTTTCATTGTCAATTGAATATATCAGGTTAGAATGAATCGTTGAATACGTATTTAAGACCTTTTCATCTAACGGATTAACTGTTCGAATATCTTTATCTTCTACACTTATACTTCAATTTGAGATTAAAAGCATCTTTTTTCGTTTACGACGCTTTCAAATCATTTCAAATGTGAAAATTTTCGATTCATTTGGTAAAGCTTTGTCAGAAGTTCAGTGTCTAAAAAGACCATCATGGTATCAATTCAGTGAGCTAAATATGCAATATAATTATCAGAGTTGCTGTTGATCATTTCGAATTCAGCAAGATATGATAATATGATGAAACTTAAATATTCTTCTCTTTTCAGATTTCAAATTAAGAATGTTACAGATTGAAATCAAGCTATTTGTATTGCTTGTTTTCGAAATTTTCCTATGCTCGTTGGCAGAAGATAAACCAAAATTGACGCTGGATGAATTCTTCAATTATGTAGACTATCCAACCATGAGCGTTTCGCCGACAGGTGAACATTTATTCTTTGAAATTATGCGACCATCATGGGAGACCAATTCATACTCGCGCACTTTGTGGCTATACAATATTCAGCAACAACAAAAACGATTGATTACGACAGACTTAGGCGGCTACATGATCCCAATGTGGTCGCCAAGCGGAAAATGGGTAGCATTTTCCATGAACAATATTCCAACCATAAACAGTTCTCGAAGTTCGTTTGAAAGATTAGAAAGAATCGAACAACACATGTACTTCTATTCGGTTGTGACAGACAAACTCATATCTGTTCAAATAGGAACTGTTCAACCGTCATTTATCACATGGTCTGATGATGATAGATTTATTTATTTTGTTGCAGCGGCAGTGAGGTCAAAAGAAGAGGAGGATGCGCATAGAGCAGAATGGAAAAACGTGATTAATTATAGACAGGGTAAACCTGGTGAGGGAAGTGTTATCTATCGGATAGATATCGACACGAACAATCCACTTCTATCTGCAAAAGTCAGCGTTGTAGCTAATGTTTCATTGCTCATCGGCGAACTTTTGTATGTGCCATACGAACAACAGCTTGTTTTTACATCGAGAGGGAAAGCTTACGAAGATTTGGACGACTTCGAAATATATTCAATTCGTTTAAATAGTTCATCATCATCATTATCAAGATTAACGTACATGGAAGGAGTTGAACAAGAATTACAATTATCAAGTGATGGTAAACATGTATTATTTCGTTTATGGGCTCTCAGTTCAGGTAAAGTCCAAACTACTCAACGACGACTCTGTTCATTGGATTTAATCAACGGTCAAATCAATCGACTGGCAAAAAATTTTGATGGCGTTGTCACACAATACACAGTTAAATCGGGCGGTGGTGTTTATATCATAGGGCAATTGGGACTCAATGTCCAAATTTATACCCAAGAATCGTTGACAGATGACGCGATTTACCGACACGGATGGAACGGAACCTATGAACGGTTTGCTTCATCATCACATCGAGCAGGTGGCCCAGTTGCATTTGCTTTTTCGTCGCTCGAACGACCGAAAGAGGTGTATTTGGCTGAAAGTATTGATCAACTAATGTCGGCCAAACCGATTACGAACGACAACGAGTTATTTACGCAGAGAGATTTACCTCAAGCGACGGCATACCATTGGAAAAATACTGCAGACAATCAAGTGATAGAAGGCGTTTTACACTATCCACCAGGAAAGTTCAATGCAAAAAATTTGCCTCTCTTAATTCTTATTCATGGCGGTCCAAATGTAGCAAGTGTAAATGAGCTCCAAGCCACTTGGAATTGGGCCACAATGGCTGCCACTGAAGGTTGGCTAGTCTTAGAACCTAACTATCGAGGTTCGACAGGCTATGGCGACAAATTTCTCGGTGAAATTCGTCATCGACTGCTTTCATTACCCGGCCAAGATATTCTAATGGGGGTCGATCAACTGACGAAAGATGGCATTGCCGACCCGAAAAGGCTTGCCGTTGGAGGCTACAGCTACGGTGGTTTTCTAACAAATTGGCTCATCACTCAAACAACTCGTTTCAATGCCGCTTTGTCGGGTGCTGGCGGAATTGAGCATGTTTCTGGTTGGGGTACTATGGATTTACCAGTACTTCTTAGTTATTTGCATGGGGGTTTTCCTTGGGAAGTACCACAAGTCTATCAAAGTGAATCTCCAATTTATCAAATGAATAAAGTACGTACACCGACACACATTGTTATAGGCGAATATGATGCACGAGTCGATACTGATCAAAGTTTTATTTTGGAACGTAGCCTTCACTATCTTGGAATACCTGTACAATTGTTAGTGTTCCCAAACGAAGGACATGCTATCGCGAATGATCCTTGGAATGGAAAAATTAAAGTTCGGGAAGAACTCAAGTGGTTACAGAAATACGGGAATCAATCGCTATCGAATGTATCGAATGGATGTGACACAAAGATTACATCTCTCTTTATTATTTTTATATCATTGTCAATATTCATTTCTAAGATTTACTTCTTTTAAAAATTGCTCTTTCAAGTACTCGATAAGTGAAGTCGTCTTTTGAAATAAATGAAAAGATTCCGAGTAACGAAATGTATGCCTTGGTTATCTAACAATGGAGGTGTTTGTGTTGTTAGTTAAAGAGTTGGCACATGTTCGGGTCAAATGAAAGCTCTCACTGCCACACTAAAAAGGTAAAATATTAGCGGCTATTCGCTTGTCTAGAAGGAGATATTCGATTTTTACGGTACTCATGGTCTGTGTATACAGGAACATTAGGATTATTTACATTCATTTTTTATGCAATCAACTGAATATTTCAATAGTGGGCGTCAAGAATCTTCCTGAGATTTATCAATAACACTAATATCACGTTAGTTTCGATGTCTTCTGGAACTTAAGTAGTGTCAATATAGATACATATCAGCAAGTATGTATCAAAATCTTTAAATTACCAATAGTTTCGATTTTATTGCAGCTGGAAACAATAGATGATATAATATAATTACTATGTCAACAAATGTATTTCAGGTGTAGATGTAGACCTCCAATGAGATGATAGTAATAAAGAGCTTTTTACACCAAGCATCTATTAATAGCGTTTCGTTCATTGCAATTGTTAATTGAACAGTATAGATCGTAAAGTCTGAAGCAAACATCTTTTGTTTTTTCAATCTGCCCAATTATTTCATTTGTCATTCGAGTTTGTATAAAACCATTCTTAATGAGATTTTAAAATTGTGGAGCTGATAATTGCTTGTGAGTAATAGAATGGATGTGGATGAAATATGCACGATCACTTATAGTCATTTCTGTTCGGCTGATATGAATATCATGTTGAATTTTTTCATGAATATATTGCCATCCGCGAAACAGCGAAATATATTGTGGTTAAATATAACCGGTTGATCCTTCAGGAAAAATCAATAATTGACTGTCTTGATTATGAAATACAGCTCTACATTTTGTTAGATCAGCTTGAGTTTTCCAAGAATCAAGGAAGAGAAGAAACTTTTTACCAGCCAAAGGACGTAGGACTTCATTTAAAAAAGCGTGATGTTTTTCGCCACTGCTTTTTCATGATTTTGAAGCTTTGACTACAACATTTGATAGCACAATTAAATCTTTTTGCACTCTTTTACCGAATGTATTTTCTTTTTCTTGAAGAATGAGTAAGAATTTATCTAATAAATAACCATAGCTGATCTAACTTGTTGAGCTGCACAAGAATGCATTAGATTATATTTCTTTTTAACAGCTACTTCTGTTGTTCTTTCTCCAGTAAACGAAAGAGTCCTTGGAGAGACGTATTCCTGTTGACATGAACAATGATCGCTGTTTAAAATTTCATGAGAAGAATGCTTGAATGCCAAAGATTTTTTAAATTTGATCCAATTTTGAGCATCTAAAGTGTGTACGCATATTATATTAAGGCACATGTACTTATAGGTCCGTTCCGATGTCGGGCAACTCATTAGATTATTGTTTTTTTCATTTCTTCTAATGTAAAACGGTTTTTTACATCAGAATGTTCACTCTCATTGTAATCTTCAATTTCATCATATTCATCGTCAAATTCAAGAGTATCATAAGTATATAGCTCACTGAAGTAGCTGCCTTTAAATGATTTCAAAACTTCGAATAATCGTTTTGAAGCAAAAATTTCATTGGTGGTTGTTGCAAAATTTCCAGAGCCAAATTCAATTTGAGCCAAATGGAGAAGATGTTTAGCGATGTTCAATAAATTCATGTTTTAATTTGATAAAATAAACCTTTTTACTCGGTAGACAGAGCAAAGAACGAAGGAGAATAATTCTTCGATAGTATATTTCTTTGTGATTTCTTAAGAACAATTGCAAAGAAATGGTCAGTAGACCACCAAGTGATGCATCAATGTACTTTAATTTCAAAATATACGTACAAGTCATTTTTCAAACACATTATATATATTATTTTTCATTTCGATACAACTTAAGTTCCAGAAGACATCGAAACTAACGTGATCATAATGTTATCGATAAATCTCAGAGATATTCTTAACGCCTACTATTGACATATTCAGTTGATTACATAAAAAATTAATGTAAATAATCCTAATGTTCCTCTATACCCAAACCTTGAGTACCGTAAAAATCGAGTATCTTCTTCTAGGCAAGCCAATAGCTGCTAATATTTTAACCATGTTAATTTGGCAATGAGAGCTTTCATTTGACACGAATATGTGCCATATCTTTAACTATCAACGCAAACGCCTCCATTGTTAGTTTCACTTACCTAAATCTAGAAAGAAATCGTTGTCTTTCCTACGGATACTTCCCAGTTTGTCAGCGAATAAAAAACTGCAAAGGTCTCCAAGCTGTTTCTTTCCGTAATCTGATTTGTACAGATCTTCAAGATGGTCATTTCGGTGAGAATACTCCTTTAAATTCATCAAAAAATAATGAAACTGAAGCCAAAATGATAAAAAAGCTCTACAATCTAGGTTGTCCAGAATACATTTTTGGAGACACCTTGTGTCTCACAATCAGATAAGTACACATAAACAACCAGTCGGCATAATTTCAAATGACTATAGTTGGGCAATAAGAAACAATATCGCAACTGATAACGAAAACTGGACAGTCTGATTCAGTAAATGATTTCCTACGGCTTGTGCTAGATGTTATTTCAAATTATTGCACGTCTATGCTCGAAAACTTGATCATAGAGTGACTTAATTTTGCATATTAAATCGAGTTTATTCATATCAAACACTATTTATATTAAATGAATATTCATCAAGCTATCCCTAAATACACGTACCTAATAGTCTAGATATTGTTTTTCGAAAGTTTCAAATGTCATATTTCGGCTATACAGTCGAAACAACTAAAGTAGAAAATATCTTTTTTTCTTATTATCTTTATATGAATACAGGAGCTACATCAGGTTGATCATAAAACCAATTAACACTCTAAAAACATCGAATATTGACCTTGTTCAAAGTTTTTATTTGTCCGCGAAAAAAATAGTTGACTCTATCACCAAATATGTTTATATCAACGTGCTCTATTATTTGATATAAGATGGTAGGAGTCTCAGTAAAACAAGAACAGTTAACATATCTAGATTGAAAAGCCGAAATATCATCAATTCAAAAATTTTGCGCCTATATTTAATTATTATCATTATTATTATTTCTTTGAAATCAAAACAATCAATTTTGTATTCGCTTCTTCATCCTGATAAAATCCTGAACAAGAATTTACAATCTGTAATAGGTCCATCAATTATCATTTCTAATAGTATAACCAAATAATTAGAATCCGTTTTTCTAAATGTCTATGATTTACTTTCCAAATCTCGAATAGTTAATTGTTTGTTCAAATATTGTTCTTGTCATTTTCTTGGTGCTTATCATACAGTTAGTTAAATATTAATGACATTTCGTAATCAATAACTTTCTGTAGACTATACAAATATATAATGTCGAATATTATTTTGGTGATGGTATTTGTAAATCTCAACCTTATTTTCATTTAGGTCGATTAATTTTATCGAAAAAAAATGGGTATAACTGAAATGACACAAGATGAAATCGAAACTAAAATTCTATTTGGCATGTATGATAAATTTACTCGAAAAGATTGTAAGAATATGCTTCACTTAAATTTGAAAGATTAATTGACTTCAATAAATGATTTACTTCGACATAATTGTAACCATTTTACAGATGTTTTCCTTGATCATCTGCTTGGCATTCATTTACCAATACAGTTTAATGGAACAGAACGATGTATTATTGCTACACCATGTTGTACTCGAACATGAAATGATATGTTTGGCAATGATTGGACTCAGATCAAATACAAATATAGCACAAAATACATGTTATTATCGAGAGTTAAAAAAGGCAACATAGTCTCGACGATTAATTAGACTATCAAATGATTGATTGTGCTTGACAAGATCATATTATTATTTCAAATGAAATACTTTTCTGAATAATATAGATATGATTGTGTTTGTAATGATACTTTCAATCGTATTTGAAATTTTAGATTTAAGCCTACTAAAACAAGTGTCTACACTCTAAAAAAAATTAGTATTTTACCAAACCCCCCGAAAATGTACTTGAAGGTGTACAGAATCTAAAAAACGGGTTTTCAGATTCTGTACACCTTCGAGAGCATTTTCGAGGGGTTCGGTAAAATATTTATTTTTTTAGAGTGTAATTATGCTAAAGATGTAAAATTATTTTATTTACTGAAAATGTTTATTATACTTAAGCATATAAATTTCTCTTTCATCATGTATGTCTTGCTCATACGTTTATTCATCATATATCAATTGTTTCTTGGTAGTATTCATAATTTAAAAATAGAAGCATATTAAATATCAATGTTTTATCAAGGTTCTTCATTCTGGGAAGACGTTCTTCGAGAATTTGCTATCACAATTATAAACCTTTTTATACTCATGCTTTCGGAAGATCCATGTTTCCTTTGTTCTGTAAAGTACTTTGCATTTCATTTATTCGAACCACATACACGAAATACAAAACGTATCAAAAAGAAAATACATAAAAAATAAAAACATATCAGAAGTCCAATATTAATTGAAATTCTCATCTTTTGATCAACATGTTAGGTTATTGATCAATTCCTCGAATTTGTATGAATACGATTTATTGTACAAAAATCTTGTTCTACTGTAGCCGTGCTGATACGTGCAATGAAAGAGATCTCTTTAGCTAGTGAAAATTAAGGATAAATATCTCTTAACATACTTTTTTGAGCAAGTTTCATACTTACTTCTTGCGAAGTGATTATTTTTCCATTCATAGACAATTGATTTGTCAAAATTACTTCAATAGGGCTGTTCAATAGTAGCTATTTCTTTATCACCATAGTTATTGTGATCGGTAGTACTTTGTCTGACTCAAGCTTGAATGTTGTTGCTAATAAAATTTTTAATAAGTATAAAAAAAATAGTTTTTCTTGTAAACTTCACCAAAATAGTTTTGTTTGTCTGATGTTGAC